CACGTCATGTTCTCTTGCTTTTGAAAATACACTAAGATTATCCAAACTATGCTTAGAATCGGGTTTGTTTTCCTTGCTTGTGGGCCCACCTACCGTACGCTTATTGGTTGCTTGAGTCCGTTGTATATCATAGCTTACTATTTACCAGTGTTTTAAGTTTCAGACTGTCTTTTTGTTCCGTTTAGATAACCAGACGACCAAGATCATTGTAGCTGCCATTGTTATGTCGTGTTTATTTGCTGTGGCTTTGATGTTCGCCATTGTGTACTACTGCCGACGTAAAAAATACAAACCTTTTAGGCCTGTAAACCCTCTGACAGGTTTGTAATTAATTTAGCGTTATTTATGTTTGTTTGCATTTCATCGACGAAGATTTACTCGGGGTTGAACCACGAACTAATTCCAATTGAAACAAGCTGGCCTCTGGAAAACGCCATAGCGTTTAGTTTTTACCGCCATCAAATTCAACTTTGTAAGGTCATTTTAGAACTCAGTTCGAACTAGACAATGATTCACAACCTCAACGAAGATGACATTTGCAAAAAGTTTTTTGACTTTTATATATATATATATATATATATATATATATTTATTTGAATACAAAGCTATCGTCAAGCCACCTTCAAACCGATCTTTAAGTAAATACTAGCATACAATGATTCTCAATACAACAAGAGATGCCAGACTGAAATCAGATAAATTTACCAGAGGGTGCGGAAGAAATACGGGGCACCGATTCACTCCTGACTCAGTCCTCTGACCCTCAAATATATTTTTAAAATCTAGCTAAGAATCTTTGACCCAATTTTTTTCGTTGAAAAAATTTTCCAAAAATGTAATTTATGGAAACATGATATCATAACCTCAGTTCATGATCTCTTGAAAATCATCTGAAATTTGAATTGCGAACCTCTTCTTTTCGATAATAAAATTAATTCCCAATTTTAGGCCGAACTTGCAACCGACACCTTTCTTAATCATTATTTTGCAAAATTTTAAACAGAGCTTGTTTACAGTCATCCTTGGAGACCCAAGGGAAAATAATTGCGCGAGACTTAAGTACAACGGCGATTGCAATGATTCCAAGATGGACGAGATTGCAAAAAAGGCACATCATCGCTGACAGTTCCTTTAGAATTTTCTTGGTTTGCTGAATATAATGCTACATGATGGACTACCAAAAATTGTAAGCAAATCTTCTGCTTATATAGTGAACACCTCAGGATGTAAGCCATATTGTCCAAAAATCGGCCCACAAAATCCTCAAATCAAGTCATTTCATTTTATCACAACGCAAATTCAGATAAGAAGAGGAAAATTTATCAAATCCGTTGAAAGATCCTCTAAGGAAAATGCAAAAGTCACAATTGCAACAGCTACTCTTTTAACAATAAACCGAAGCCACACAGAATACGACAATCCTCGCCCTATTTAATATCAAAATTTCCTACGGCAAGCAAAAAACCAATTGCAGTGGAAAAGCAGCTTTGACACTTGCGCGAAAATGGCTTGACTGCGTTTCCAAATCCTGATCCGCACTTTAGTGGCCTGTGCAATGCTAAAATTCCTTCGCGCTGGAAATTTTTACAGTAACGGTCTGATTTTCTCGATTTTCCAGTTTTTCCAGAACTCCTTTTTACTTCTGATGTTTCACTTTTACGCAGCATGTAGATTGCCACCCGACGGTCCCAGTGAATGTCCTTATAAGCCAGGTTGGTATTTGATACAACCAGGGGCCTAAGTCCCTCACTGGTTTTTATCTAACCCGCCTCCATTTATTTTCTCTTCACCTCAAACTGATCATGTGGGGCAAGCTCGAACACTCAAATAATAATTTTAGAAAAGAAAGAAAAACCCAGAGATTCCATTAAAAGAATTAAAAGAGGTTTTGCTGTGAATTCAAACCCAGTCTCCTCGTCATGGGCAGTTTCTACTCAGGATGCACCTGAAGGCGTGAGACAGATTCCTGTATTACTTCAAGGGGGGTTTATAAATAATATGAGGGTCACCTATGTTTAAAATAACTCAGACGTAAGAGTTTGGAGTTATACCACTTGAGCAATCGTTACAATTTTACGACGAATTAATATGAATTTAAATGGATGAACTAATTAATTTACCAATTTTAAGCGTTTGTTGATCCCAAGTAAGGATGTCAGAACTGAAGTCGTGGATTTTATCACCGACGCTATGTTGTGTTTGGTTTTCTCGATGCATAAAAGTAGAGCACAATATACGCGTTGAATTAGAAAAATATAAAGACTGCGCCTTCATCCCTACAAGCCTGTTTCGTGATTGCTCACTCATTAAATCCCCTGATGAGTGAGCAGTCACGAAACAGGTTTGGTAGGGATGAAAGCGTCACACGCTAATGTGTGAACGTGCGAGCTTGCAGTCCACTTCAATTGTACCAAACACGAAATTTCTGAAATCAATTTTATTTTTATTGAGAAAATTATCAGCCAAGGGGACGCAGCTTATATTGATAGATTATTACTTACGAGAGAGGCCTACTGGACCGCACAACTATGTACACTCAGTCCCCACGGACTTAACAAAAGACGCGAATTCAGATCCAAAAATCGCGTCTGCTATAATACTTAATTAGGGCATCAGTTACACAATGTAATCGATTGAGTTCTTCGCAACCATTCGTGGTTATTTCGCCTATTGCACATTCTTGCCTTTTACTCATTATTATATCCTATTATTCAGGTTTGGAATGCCTTACGCAATACTATTTTTATTTCTTACGTTTAGTTTAAATTCAGGTCATTCTGTAAACCTACTAGGATTTTTTGTTTTTAATTTCTATGTAAATACGTTCCACCGGAAGAAGGCCTAAGGCCGAAACGTCGCCACATTAAAGCTGGAACAGTTAGAAGTTTGCTTCATGTTTCATCGTTTTACACTTACTTAACATTTTCATTGAAGCACTGTATCCTCCGCGGATCCTTCTACTGGGAGCTCATCATTTGGTTTACCTTTTTATTCTGTTTATATATATCTATATAAGCGAAATAGGCAACGTAGGATCCATGACAGTTCTCGACAATGAAGGAGCGATTACAGTAGCAAATGGTGATGAGTTCATAAATATATATATATATATACATATACATACATACATATACATGCAAATATATACATACATAAATGTATACATAAATACATCTATTTATCTATCTATCCATCTATCTATATATATGATATGCTTGTATTCAGAGAGTGAAGAAGAAATCTCTTCGACCTCAGGTAAGGAGCTGAAACTAAAATTAGGCGGCACAAGGATAGTGATTTAAAGAATAACTAAAGAGGATGAATTCGAATTTTTAACTGTCGATTTTTCTTAATTTTTTTCAAGCTATCTCAACTGTAGGGGGACAAAGTGAGTATGAGAGTTTTCTTTTATCATTCTGAAAAAATTCGATTAATACGTATATCAAGCTCATGAAATTCGAATGGTTTTAAACACGAATATAGAATGGATAGATATCATTGAAACGCTCATTTCATTTCATAAATTCTGAGGATGTACAACCATGTGAGGAAAAATTTGGTCCGAAAAGCTGCCAAAATATCCGGCCCGCTAGCAAGCCAAACTTAGCTTTTTTTTTTTTTCCTTAAACTGAAAAAAAAAAAAATATTAAATTAATGTTTTTGAACGGTAATTCTGACTTATGTTGCCCACATGGTTATTTGTCGAGAAGGAGTAAAAGTGTAGAATCTTAAGAAGGGAAGCTTTAAGCTAATCTGATAACGAAAAACCATTTTTAAAATGTCGTCGAAAAATTAAGTTAGCACAGGCCTAAATAACACAATGAATGCAATATTTCCCTGTAGGCACGCACATTAACAGCGCTACACCAGCCAAGCCTTTACACCCAGGTAACTATGGTCAGCTGTTATGATGTAAATTGAATAGAAAAAAAAAATTATTGTTCCTTAGGAATGAAGAAAAGGCTGAAATCACTGTTCTTAAATTGTAATTCTGGCCAATGCTTCCCACATGCTTAGCAACCGAGAACGAGTGAAAATATAGAGTTTGAGACGCTTAATCCAAAATATCTCAGTGAAAGATAAATGTTAAGCCAATTCAACAACTAAAAAGCATTTTAAAAATGCCATAAAAAAGGTAACACAGGCCTGAACACATCGAAATGCAATATTTTACTATAGACCTGCAAATGTACAACACTACACTGACGAAGCCTCAATACCCAAGGGAACATAGTAAGCTAGCATGATTTTAGTTAAAAAAAAAAAAAGTAAATGATAGTGACGTCATAGCTGTACGTCCGTCTTTTCGAAAGGCCTGAACTGTAGTTGCGTGCGCGAAATTTCAAATTAGTCGGGCTCTGCTCTCTCGACGCTGAAAAATGTCCTTGTTGTGTACCTGAAATTACAATATCGCCGACGTATAACTTTCACGTCATGTTCTTTTGCTTTTGAAAATACACTCAAGATTATCCAAACTATGCTTAGAATCGGGTTTGTTTTCCTTGCTTGTGGGCCCACCTACCGTACGCTTATTGGTTGGTTGAGTCCGTTGTATATCATAGCTTACTATTTACCAGTGTTTTAAGTTTCAGACTGTCTTTTTGTTCCGTTTAGATAACCAAACGACTAAGATCATTGTAGCTGCCATTGTTACGTCGTGTGTATTTGCTGTGGCTTTGATGTTAGCCATTGCCTATTACTTTAACCCGCCTCCCTTTATTTTCTCTTCACCTCAAACTGATCATATGGGGCAAGCTCGAACACTCAAATAATAATTTTAGAAAAGAAAGAAAAACCCAGTGATTCCATTAAAAGAATTAAAAGAGGTTTTGCTGTGAATTCAAACCCAGTCTCCTCGTCATGGGCAGTTTCTACTCAGGATGCACCTGAAGGCGTGAGACAGATTCCTGTATTACTGATTATAAATAATATGAGGTTATAAATAATATGAGGGTCACCTATGTTTAAAATAACTCAGACGTAAAAGTTTGGAGTTATACCATTTGAGTAATCGTTGCAATTTTACGACGAATTAATATAAATGTAAATGGATGAACTAATTAATTTACCAATATTAAGCGTTCGTTAATCCCAAGTAAGGATGTCAGACGTCGATTCTTAAAAACGATCCCGTTCAAAAATGGCTCTTGACATGCAGTGATTTGAGATTCTTAGTTGTAATAACAGAGACCAAGTCCAATGGCATTTGAATTTGTGGATAGTAGAATCTTAACAAGGTAGTTC